TTTACATTGGACAATCAGCTAATTGGATAATTACCAATTAGTTAATTACCAAAAAAAGTGAAAAATTTTTATTGGCTCAAAATGATTAAAATCGTTTAAAACACGGAGAAATGTAGTTTTTAGAAAAACTTTAAAACTTTTTCACTTAAAAATTTTTTTCGAGACTTGAAAAATTTCGAAAATTTGAAAAAAAAAATTTCGAATTGCATGAATGATGAAACGTGGATAAAAATGCTTTGCAGAAAAACTTCGAACATTTTTAGATCGGGGAATACTAAAATCATAAATATTTGAAGTTTGAGTTCAGTAAATCTCGGCATATTTTAGTAATTAGGAATAGCTTAGCGGAAAGGCTGAACCTGAAAAAGGTTAACCACACAATATTAGAGTTTCATAACTAATTACAATACAGCTTTACCAAATTCCACATAAAGAAACAGCACAAAAGGACCGTTTAAGATCGAACCGATTTTACCTGCTGTATACTATCATTTTATTGATTTCAATGATCAAAACCTCTCTGTACCGTCAATCTTGCCAATCTATACCGGGTATCTGAATTTACCGGACCTCTTCTTTGCCTCTATAATAATAGACCCAGTTGTGCAAGAAATGCGATTTCTCACAGGGGCTTCTTTTAACTGTGCACCTTTTGTCACTCTCGCAAGAGGCCCGGTATTATAGGGGGGTATAGGAAGCAAGTGTAAATATACCTTCCATTATCCACTGTGGGTTTTTTGTGTTGTGAATGCGCATGCCGCTTCGTTTGCTATGCAAGATACCTCGAATAACCCCCATATGTCATTGCCAGGGTCGGGATAGAGCTGGAGATAGCATTGAGAGGTTGCTAGAAATAACTAGACTTAGAATAAAGTCTAGCTATCAGATTATGATGAAAGGCTGTTAAGCTTAGGGGTGGGCGACAATTGACCCCCCGACAATTGACCCCCGACAATTGACCGCCGACAATTGACCCCCGACAATATAATTTAATACAATTAATCCTGACCCCGACCCTGACCCTGACCCTGACCCTGACCCTGACCCTGACCCTGACCCTGACCCTGACCCTGACCCTGACCCTGACCCTGACCCTGACCCTGACCCTGACCCTGACCCTGACCCTGACCCTGACCCTGACCCTGACCCTGACCCTGACCCAGGACCCAGGACCCTAACCCAGGACCCTAACCCTAACCCTAACCCTAACCCTAACCCTAACCCTAACCCTAACCCTAACCCTAACCCTAACCCTAACCTTAAACCTAACCCTAACCCTAACCCTAACCGTGACCCAGGACCCTGACCCTAACCCGATCGATTGACTCCAGTGTAATTACATGGGGGGTCAATTGTCGTACTAAACCCTAGATTTTGCGACAATTGACGCCAGTGTAATTACATAGGGGGTCAATTGTCGGGGGGGTCAATTGTAAGGGGGTCAATTGTCGCGGTACAAAGCTCAGGACGGTGATCTTGATAGGTCGGATAGCTGTACCTGATTGGTTCCAGCCCACCGTGTCGCTTGGAAGTAAGTTCTCACCCCACCTCTTCCAAAAATGCGGTTACCAGAGCAGGAAACTCTTCTTCCTCCTCTTCTTTCAACCGGAACACAATCAGGTTCCTGCTCCTCTCCTCCTCTGCAGCCACAATCTTATCTCCTTCTTCAGCGTTTTACTGTTGCAGACTGTATTACTTGCACTGTTCTTTTGCAGTACTCCTGCACTGTTACACTGTAGCTCTGTGTCCCTGACTCCACCGTGGTTTGCACTGCCCCTAAACTGCAATCTTAAGTAACTTTAGTTCCGGCACTCTTTGGCCATTAAAATAACCAACTCCAATGAAACCCCGTGTAGCTACGTTCTGCTACCTCCATGCTAGCACCACCGAGCTACCACCAGTTTATTTTAAGTCTAGCTATTTCTAGCAACCTCTCAATGCTATCTCCAGCTCTATCCCGACCCTGGCAATGACATATGGGGGTTATTCGAGGTATCTTGCATAGCAAACGAAGCGGCATGCGCATTCACAACACAAAAAACCCACAGTGGATAATGGAAGGTATATTTACACTTGCTTCCTATACCCCCCTATAATACCGGGCCTCTTGCGAGAGTGACAAAAGGTGCACAGTTAAAAGAAGCCCCTGTGAGAAATCGCATTTCTTGCACAACTGGGTCTATTATTATAGAGGCAAAGAAGAGGTCCGGTAAATTCAGATACCCGGTATAGATTGGCAAGATTGACGGTACAGAGAGGTTTTGATCATTGAAATCAATAAAATGATAGTATACAGCAGGTAAAATCGGTTCGATCTTAAACGGTCCTTTTGTGCTGTTTCTTTATGTGGAATTTGGTAAAGCTGTATTGTAATTAGTTATGAAACTCTAATATTGTGTGGTTAACCTTTTTCAGGTTCAGCCTTTCCGCTAAGCTATTCCTAATTACTAAAATATGCCGAGATTTACTGAACTCAAACTTCAAATATTTATGATTTTAGTATTCCCCGATCTAAAAATGTTCGAAGTTTTTCTGCAAAGCATTTTTATCCACGTTTCATCATTCATGCAATTCGAAATTTTTTTTTCAAATTTTCGAAATTTTTCAAGTCTCGAAAAAAATTTTTAAGTGAAAAAGTTTTAAAGTTTTTCTAAAAACTACATTTCTCCGTGTTTTAAACGATTTTAATCATTTTGAGCCAATAAAAATTTTTCACTTTTTTTGGTAATTAACTAATTGGTAATTATCCAATTAGCTGATTGTCCAATGTAAAAATTTTTAGTACAAAAGTTTTACTCCTTGATAAGATAAACATTCTAGGTTAATTTTCAGCCTTCTACGACGTTCACAACTAAAGATATTTGGCAAACCAGAAAGGTGGTACAAAGGTGGTAAAAAGTGGTAAAAAGTGGTGTTTCTGTCGAGATACAAAATTGGTGACAAGTCTAATTATGTTCGTAGGGGTTCTAACTACCATATTCCGTTGCTAAATCCTTGTGAACATTTAAATCCAACGGAACCCTTAAATCGACCACTTTTCCCCTTACTAATATTGCTACTGGTCAAATTAAATGTCACTTGTTAGCGGGCTATATCATGAGCGGGCTGTAGAGATATCGGGCCCTTTGACAGCGGGCTGGTGAGAGCCCGCTATGCGAAAAAGCGCACGCTGGTGGATATAATAACATCTATAAACAAAAGAGCACCTAAAGAGGCTCAGCAAAGTGCTGGCATAAAAGCGGATGATGATTAATAACTCTACACTCGACTGTCACTTGACTTTTTAAACACGTTTTCTTGGTGGCCCCGAATGACTATTCGAAATCCTAGCCCTCTGATCTGATCCCAGCCTTAACCCTCACCCAATCTCTAACAAAAGCATATGCTGATTGACTGTAGATTGATTTAGGGTAACACGACATCTGTCCGATAGCGACATCTGTCCGACAGCACTATTTTCTTGTGTTTGAAGTGATATCTCAAATTTGGCACATAGAAATTCACCCAAACTTGCACAAATTATTTGATTTAGCACGCTCGGAAATACACGGAGTCACTGCTGCATACATTTTAAATAGTGTGTTTACTTTGTTAGGATTTGTTGTGTTATTTTTGGTAGTTTGGTAAACACTTCTCTCAGAGAGCCTACGTTTAAACAGTGAATTATTATGAATAGCATGCTAATGTTTTTCCGAACACGAATTGGATTTGTTTTTGATATCACAACAGTTTAAATTGATCCATTTTTAGAGGTTTTAACAAAATCGACGCCGCACAGTGATATGATTTTCTGAAGATTTGATAAACTTTTAGGTTAATGTACTATAAGTATAACTGAATATGTAACTAGACACCGTCGATTTGAGTGGCGCCTCCTATTTACGGAGCTTTATTTGCGGAGATTTATTGGTACCTTTAACTGTGCTACAGTTGCATTTTTATTCTAGATCTTAATCAAAATAATCTTAAGGTGCCCACTTTTCAGGTGCTTCTTAGTAAAAATCTCTAATCTGAATCGCAATTAAAATTAGCACAGAAACCACCGACACAAGCAAAATCAATGAAACAAATCTCAGAGACCATCAATTGTAGCAATTTTGTCTCCTTGCTCACCAACTCCTGACTCCTGGTGTTCCTATCTGGATATTACACAATCATTTTTGATCTTTACAGCCCAAAGGATACGTGACTAGCACTTAGATTAAAGCCTCATAGAAAATAAGATTACACATATGTATTATGTTCCTTTTACAGTGTTTTAATGTGTTTACTTTGAATACTCTCATGCTTGTTAGCGTTTATTTTCGGGCAGCCAGCGGGTTATCCATTATACGAAACACCTAATTATATTATTAGAACGCGATTAGTATTACATACATTCATCTGCATCATTTGAGGATTTAAAATCTTCAATTGCAATTTATAAAGCTTATTTACTTCCATGCAATTAGAATTGTGTTCAATGTGAGACTCACCCCGCTAAGATTCTTTAAAACTCAGTCGTTGGCTGAGTCTTGAGACTGAACGATTATTATCTGACCTGATTTGCTGAATTCTCATCGAATTAATTAACAGTACGAGCCAAGTTATACTTATCTTCTTTTACTGAATTGGAATACAGACTTTATCGTCAAAGTTAATTTATTTGCCAAATTGAGTAACAGAATTTTATCTTTCTGGAGTGGGGTTCTCTGTAGATCACGTCACTGACCTGTTAATACGTGGGAACTGGCTCTAAAGAGGCACAACTGTCGGTAACCATAGTATAGTAACATCTAATATGTTAGACTAGCAGGTTCGTATTCGTCCTGTAGTCGGACAAACAAAATGAAACTTTCGATCAGTAACGTTATATTAGTGCCAGTGGTCAATAAGTATTATACACCGCGTCAGAAGAAACATTTGAAAATCTGTTCACATTTCACAAGCTTTTTCTAAGTTTAGGATATTTTAGTTTTGCTTTCTATTCTATTTCATTGGAGACAAGTCAAACAAATACATTTTTTCTAAGTTAATAAATTTGGATCTCTTTATGAAAATGGAAGAAGTCTGTTTGTTATCTAGATACTGCAGACCCAGCCACGAGCAGTGGCCACCACGTTCTCTAGCCCAGAAGGAAGTCCCAGCAAGTCAATAAGTTCTGAAACGGATTCGCCGCACACTGTCTCTTGACCTGGGTGGATCACGGTTTAGTGAAATATCATGTAATATTATGCAATATTATGTAATATTATGCAATATTATGTAATATTAGTGAAATATTATGCAATATTATGTATGTAATTTTAAACATTTCCTTAAATTCGCTTGCTCGTATCGGCTGTTCAGAATGAAAATTGTGACAATGAAGTATTGAGTTCTTCACTGAGGGTACTTACCGATCGCGAGAAGTTTATAGAAGATCTCCATAGTTTTAGCAAAGAGTCCATCTCCCTGTAGGACATCAGATCTGGCCTCGAGACTGAGAACACTGCAGACAAAGCCTCGTGCAGTTGCCACGATATCAGCAAGAATGTCAGGGAGTCCGAGAAGTTCGAGCAGCTCAGTCGTACTCTGTCCGCAAACTGTTTCGTGACCTGTTGGATTCGTGAATTGGAATTCAGAACTATATCTGGGTTTAATGTGTATGTGATGGTTGAACGGTGAAGAAATTTAACTGAATATCACATGCTGACAAAGCTGACAATTTGTATTTAGGAGAAAATTGAAAAAGTTTTTTAAGTCACCGATTTCCTTGAGTTTAAAGATGATTTGTCTCAGAGTATCGAAGTATCCCTGAAGAGCTTGAGGCTGGGCAGCATCTCTGACTTGAAGGCTCAGAGCACTGCAGACGAAACCTCTAGCAGTAGCAACAATTCCGTCCAAAATATCTGGCAGTCCGAGGAGTTCAATCAGCTCAGATACAGTTGATCCGCAAACTGTGTCGTGTCCTGAGGATTTAAAGAGTTAGCATTAGAATAGTTCTTGTGAAAATTTAGCTGTCATAATATTAATTGATTTTGCTTAAATTTAACGCCCAGTGAAAAAGGCGGCTGGGAAAGGCCGAAAGCCTGTGTTGTATGAAGATAAGAAGCCACTGCATTAATTTAATATAAAGCTCAGAAATTATCAGCCATGAAAGAATATCAATAATTTCTAACCGAGTTCCTTGAGTTTATAGATGATTTGTCTCAGAGTATCAAAGTATCCCTGGAGAGCTTGAGGCTGGGCAGCATCTCTCACTTGAAGGCTCAGGGCACTGCAAATGAAACCTCTAGCGGTAGCAACAATTCCATCTAAGAAGTCAGGCAGTCCGAGGAGTTCAATCAGCTCAGATACAGTTGATCCGCAAACTGTGTCGTGTCCTGAGGATTTCAAAGAGTTAGTATTAGAATAGCTCTTGTGAAAAGTGAAACGAGGGTTTTTGTTTGCTCATATTCTTCATCTGATCACGAAGAGGGCGGCCAAAAAGCAATTTGGAGATCATTAACAGTAAAAATAACCACATTATCTAACTGATGACAGGTTAACAGTATATAGTCGAGCAGCTCACCGAGTTCCCTAAGTTTAGAGATGATTTGTCTCAGAGTATCGAAGTATCCCTGAAGAGCTTGAGGCTGGGCAGCATCTCTCACTTGAAGGCTCAGGGCACTGCAAATGAAACCTCTAGCGGTAGCAACAACACTGTCCAAGATGCTAGGTAATCCAAGAAGGTCAATCAGCTCAGATACGGTCTGTCCGCAAACTGTTTCGTGTCCTTAAGATTTTCAAGAGTTAAATCAGATATCAAAATGTGTAACAAAAAATGCGTGATATTACAAGTTTCAAAATCTTAGAAGGTTGGCTACACAATATCAAAATCATTATCATCATTAGGTTTCTTAGTCTTAAAACTATTTTCTTGCTATTTTCTGATGGTAAGTGAACAGTATATAGTCGAGCAGCTCACCAAGTTCCCTTAGTTTAGAGATGATTTGTCTCAGAGTATCAAAGTATCCCTGGAGAGCTTGAGGCTGGGCAGCATCTCTCACTTGAAGGCTCAGGGCACTGCAGACGAAACCTCTAGCAGTAGCAACAATTCCATCTAAGAAGTCAGGCAGTCCGAGGAGTTCAATCAGCTCAGATACAGTTGATCCGCAAACTGTGTCGTGTCCTAAATTTGAGATGAAATGTAACATTGCTATGACATTGTATGATAGAGTTTGCTATCAAGTTTTAGAGTATCAAACAATCATCACCCATACTCTATAGCCTCTTACAGGAACGAGTTCAAAAATCCAATCAAAATGTTTCCCTATGTAAATGTTTGATAAGTTTGAGAACGTAGATTAAGTTTTTTTCAGTTGACACCATAAAAGCTTGATAATGAAAATCTAAATTACTGCATCGTATCCTTAAAATTAAATTCACCATGTAAGAACAAGAGATCTAGGAAAGTGGTCGACTAATTCTAAACGGCGCCTTACCGAGTTCCTTAAGTTTAGAAATGATTTGTCTCAGAGTGTCGAAGTATCCCTGGAGAGCTTGAGGCTGAGCAGCATCTCTGACTTGAAGGCTCAGGGCACTGCAGACGAAACCTCTAGCAGTAGCAACAATTCCATCTAAGAAGTCAGGCAGTCCGAGGAGTTCAATCAGCTCAGATACAGTTGATCCGCAAACTGTGTCGTGTCCTAAATTTGAGATGAAATGTAACATTGCTATGACATTGTATGATAGAGTTTGCTATCAAGTTTTAGAGTATCAAACAATCATCACCTATACTCTATAGCCTCTTACAGGAACGAGTTCAAAAATCCAATCAAAATGTTTCCCTATGTAAATGTTTGATAAGTTTGAGAACGTAGATTAAGTTTTTTTCAGTTGACACCATAAAAGCTTGATAATGAAAATCTAAATTACTGCATCGTATCCTTAAAATTAAATTCACCATGTAAGAACAAGAAATCTAGGAAAGTGGTCGACTAATTCTAAACGGCGCCTTACCGAGTTCCTTAAGTTTAGAAATGATTTGTCTCAGAGTGTCGAAGTATCCCTGGAGAGCTTGAGGCTGAGCAGCATCTCTGACTTGAAGGCTCAGGGCACTGCAGACGAAACCTCTAGCAGTAGCAACAATTCCGTCCAAAATATCTGGCAGTCCGAGGAGTTCAATCAGCTCAGATACAGTTGATCCGCAAACTGTGTCGTGTCCTAAATTTGAGATGAAATTTAACATTGCTATGATGGAGTTTGCTATCAAGTTTTAGAGTATCAAACAATCATCACCTATAGCCTCTTACAGGAACGAGTTCAAAAATCCAATCAAAATGTTTCACTATGTAAATGTTTGATAAGGTTGAGAATGTAGATTAAGTTTTTTCAGTTGACACCATAAAAGCTTGATAATCAATAGCTAGATTACTGCATCGTATCCTTAAAATTAAATTCACCATGTAAGAACAAGAGATCTAGGAAAGTGATCGACTAATTCTAGACGGCGCCTTACCGAGTTCCTTGAGTTTATAGATGATTTGTCTCAGAGTATCAAAGTATCCCTGGAGAGCTTGAGGCTGGGCAGCATCTCTCACTTGAAGGCTCAGGGCATTGCAGACGAAGCCTCTAGCAGGTAGCAACAATTCCATCTAAGAAGTCAGGCAGTCCGAGGAGATCAATCAGCTCAGATACAGTCTGTCCACACACTGTGTCAACTCCTGAGGGTTTCAAAGAGTTAGTATTAGAATAGCTCTTGTAAAAGGTGAGATGAGGGTTTTTGTTTGCTCAAATTCTTCATCTGATCACGAAAAGGGCGGCCAAAAAAGCAATTTGGAGATCATAAGCAGTAAAAATAACAATAGTGTCTAACCAAGTTCCCTCAGTTTGGAGATGATTTGTCTCAGAGTATCAAAGTATCCCTGGAGAGCCTGAGGCTGGGCAACATCTCTCACTTGTAGGGGGGCACTCAGGGCATTGCAAACCCAGCCTCTGGCTGTGGCGACAATTCCGTCCACGGCGTCGGGCAGTCCGAGAAGTTCAAGCAGCTCAGTTACAGTCTTTCCGCAAACAGTTTCGTGTCCTGAAAATTAAACAAATTTGTCTTATTTGCTTCTCAGTATTAGATTAACAATAACAAAAAGCGTGATATCGCTACGATTATTCACTATTATTACGTATTTTTTGAAATCCATATGGTATAGATAGGTTTGGGCGCTGCTTACCGAGTTCCTTGAGTTTGTAGTATATCTCCTTGAGAGTATCGAAGTAACCCTGTAGCCCCTGCTCCGGTGCTTCCTTCACATCTTCGATAACACGGGCTGCACTGAGTGCGACTAGCAGTGTAAACAAACAAAATACCTTCATATTTATGGTGCGCTTCGGAATCTAGCTGTCTTAATACTGAGTATGAGAATTGTTAGATGCGGTTATGGAATATGGTGGGTATTTATACCCGGTAGGAACAGGTTCACTCAAGGAGCCGCTACTTCACACATCACCAGACGTAACATTTGACATGTCTTTGATCTAAATTCACCTGTCTAATATTGAATTATGGGGACAAGTGGTTTCTTTTGTTTTTGGTCTAAATCGTAAAATTTTCACACTTACTGATTCAGTCACCACTAACAGGTGCAACTGGGTTCGTTTAGTGGAACATACTGATTAAATCTACAATAGCATTATACCATTATTTCACCAGAAGGTCGAATTATTGTAAGATAAAATTTGGTTCTAGAAGCGTAACAGGAAAGTACAACTTCCATGGCTTTCTGTCTTTTGAATAGATTTTGATCAAACCTAAACGTACTCGAGCACATGTATATTAGCTAGAAGCAGGTTTGTGCTACAAACTGAAGTATATAGTTGTATGTATACATACAATTGCATGATGTATAGTCTATATAGTATGTATACATACATGTATAGTCTATATAGTATATATATATGATATAGTCATGTATGTTCAGATCTTACGACCCATTCGGCGGAGAAAATGTTGTTTAAGGACGTCATTTGGGTTACTGACGGCCTCTTAGTCTTTAATAGGTTGCCTAAACAGTCCAAGCCTAATCCTGCTGAGTAACACCACTAACATCACTGTTGAGTAACACCACTGCTGAGTAACACCACTCAACCATCAAGAATCTCCTATATTCATGAACATTGCCCACTAGAAATCGACGCGGAGCTACCAAAACTGGAATCCTTCGCTAGAGTTGTCACGAGCAACCCAATCCGAAGCTTCCTCCTCAACAGATTTCGTTCTATCCTCCTCCAATAAAGATCTGTTGTCACGATACAACGATTGGCATCGTTCCAAACCGTAAGTCAATAATTTCTTGAGCATCAGAATAACGGCGGAGTTTCTGGGTATCATCATTAAATCATCATTAAATTATCTGTATCATTATAATTATCAAATTGATCTATGATTAAGACAATTTTGTCCTAACCAACTGGCCCAGACCTCAGATGATTAAATTCGACGTAACACTATACGACATTTACTCGCTTATTCTGTTCTTGATATTAACCGTGGTCCTTTATAATGCACCGCTTTGTTTTTGTTGTTTTAAAAATTGTCGTGTAATCCCCAAAAAGCTTCGAGGATACGAAAAATTCGAAGTTTTAAGTTTTTATTTTGCACAAAGTGTTGCGAAAACGACATGTTTGAATCCCTCAGAAATTGTATTTCTAACTATGTAGTATGTATTGATGTAATGTTAAACCGCATGAAAAGTCGATCAAATTGAAGAAAATAATAAAACTTTCCTACACACTTAATTATAATATTGGTCATGCTTTCCATGAAGTGAGGTTTGAATTATCAATTCCTTGATAATGGAATGTTTAGATTTAAAATCCCACGAATTTTAGTTTTGAGCTCCGAAAGGCAAACGAGTAATTATTGATTAATTTTAGCACTGCCACTTCGTGTGGTATAAACGTTAACATTTCATCGTTAGTTACCAATTCTCAGTCAGGAGAGACAAGGTTGTGCCCTTTATTATTTGATTTACCACAACAGCTTGATCATTTTTCGTTACAGTATAAATATACAGAATATTCTAGATATCTAATTAATGTATAGAATATTCTAGATATCTAATTAATGTATAGAATATTCTAGATATCTATTTAATGTATAGAATATTTTATATATCTAATTGATATGTAGAATATTCTAGATATCTAATTAACGTATAGAATATTCTAGATATCTAATTCATTCAGTTCATCATCTCTTCTGGTAATAGAGATCTGGTGTCGAGCTGAACCGTGAATAACCAATCAGCTTCTAGCTTTGGCCAATCAAAACCCAGAATCACTGCCACGAGTAAAAGAAATGGCTCCACACCAGTATATTATCCAGAACTATAGTCCGACCCCCCTACTCCTCAATCTTTAGACTAAGCTTTTCGCCAGGCTGCGGAAACTTCTCCGAGTCAAATGACACCTATATTGCATAGTTGCCGTAAACAGGCCCACTCTTCAAATGTACTCCTGTTCCATGATCTGTTCCCTGTAGTCTCACGACCTTACAGGTTGGATAGGGACAGTCCTGTGATCTGAGGCCAGATTTTACTGTGAATGGTGTTTGTGAGTGGATCGATGTGAAAGTCATTTCCAAGGCCATGTGTGTTGTCGTCATCCACATCAGCTACAGAGAGGTGTCCTCCAGTGAGTGCAATCCTACAGCCTTTCCTGCCATATGCCCAGTTAAAAGCCAGGTCTCCACCAACAGAGAATATAGGATCGTTCCCCAAATTATCAGCGTCATCAGCTATTGACTCTTGGATTGGTCCTCCCTGGGTAACGATTTCTCTGCCTGGATTCATTCGCTTGAGCCCGAACCTGAACAAGATTATGTTATCAAATAATATTAATCTATCATCCAAGATTTTTCAAGTGCATTTCTATTCGAAGGACATAATTGGATTTTCATTTTTCAAAGGGAACACAACCAGATTTCTTCAGGTCTATATTTGCTCAAAGCAACAAAAGTTCTCTGGTGAAATATTTATTTACCTAATGCTGAGTGATTCCCCCGAAACTTTGAACTTGAAGACCTTGACGGCATCCAAAACCATAGTTGTTAAGTTCGTCGAAGAAATGCGAAAAGTTCGTCCAGTTCGGCACCTTTTAAAAATTCGTGAAAATTCGTGAAAATTCGTCGCGTAAATTTTCTTGGCTTATGTTTTGATTTTATAATGAATGGCTTAGGTGCGATCACTATTACACTTGTAAACAAATGATACAGTTAGATAGTTATACATACTTGTATTGAAAAAAAAACTAGATCAACAACAGATCATGACTAGTACTTCAATATAAACAGAGCTGGTTCACAGATTACAATTAAGCATCAATTATAGCAACAGCTCTCAACTTATCATTGTTATCTAAATAATCTATAGCATATGTGATCTTAGTGATCTTAGTGCCAGCACTAGTGCTCTCTGTCCAGATTGCTGATTCGCTAGCTATGTCGTTCAGAAGCTTTAAGTTGGAGTGAACGTAAACCAGCTTTCTGGCCTTTTCTGTTCTTAGTTTATTTCTCCTTTTCGAGTACACATATTCAAACTGGCTCCAATTTGTTTCGCAGGCACTGGCGCTCGTGACCTGGCTGAACAAGATAATAGCCAACTCCTGAATTACTGGGGTCTCAGAACCGTACAATTGCCAATATTTAACAGGCTGATTAAAGTTCGGTTAAAGTTCGTCTATTTCGTTAAAAAATTCGTCCAGTTCGGCACCTTTTTAAAGTTCGTCCAGGACGTCCGTAACAACTATGTCCAAAACACCTCGCTGATGTCTGACAATAGCGATGTAGTTTGCTGGTGTAACCCACACGTTTGCACTCAAGTTATAGTCCTTGGTTATGGCCTCACAGTCACTTCCAATATCAATACCAGTTGCCCATCCTGAATAGTATTATTGGAGTAGGACGTGGGGTTCTTGATATAACTAATAAAGATAACAGTTCGCTGTTTGTCCATCCAATTGAAAAATGTCAGGTTTTCGATATCACAATCAACAATTATTCATAATTTTAGACCTTTTCAACGTTGATATTACAATTTACTATTCGGCCATGGCAGAAATGGCAAAAAATGACATCCTTAAAATTCGGCCTGTCACAATTAAAGATATCACTTAGCTGATAAATTTGTAAAATCCTCTAACGACGAAATCACAAAACGATTGCTCCTTACCGACATGACGTGGTGTAACCAAATATGTGCCCGTCAGCTGGGTTGATGTTCATCCCCAGACGCCAGGTCCCTGACTTTTTTAGCTTCCCCTCAAGCGACTGAATATTCTCTTCAAGCATTCCGTCTGACGTCTCCCTCTTTAATTACTTCTTTGAGCATTTCTTGACCCTTTCTAAGCACTTCTTGTCCCTCTTTAAGCACGTCTTGTCCCTTTTTAAGCTCACTCAGCTCATCTTTAATCGCTGTTTATAATAGCTGCTTGGTCCCCCCTTTGGACTTTCCCATATATATTCCAACTAAAAAGCTCAAAAAGATAAGAAACCACATAGTAAACTCGAATTACAGAAATAACGGTCGTGTCTCTGACCTACCCTTAAGGTGTGTCATATGGGAGGGACGGTATATTCATGCGGCGCTAACTATTGTAATATTTTATTTCTTTTGTGTTACAGGACTTTCTAGTGGGAGGGGTTACACTTACTTATACTAGTGTAGTGAAAGGAATTCCTAATAAGTTCGATCAATTCTAAAGAAATAGAATTATACTACGTAATAAGTGAAATAGTTTATATACCTATGTTCGTATAATAAACGGCATCATGAGATGATGAAGTTGCAACTTAAATAATAAATGAGTATTGATGTTTGTAACGATATTTCAGGTAAGTTATAGAACTCCTGACCAAACGAGTGCCTTCGGCACTCGTTTGGTTACAAAGAATGAAATAGTTTGGCATGCAAATTGATATTTTAATACTTCACAGTGAAATGAACTTCCGCTCTCGCGGGAAAAGACAGCTCTGTTCCTACATTTTTATCATTGTCTTCAATTTTATGTGGCACCTTTCCGATAGACATATTGTTGCTGTCAAATCTCATACTTATTTCGACGTGTCCTATCTGGTTAGGCAAAGTAATCAGAGTGTTTGTATCTATTGAAACCGTGGCAAGTTGGTCGTTTAGCTCCGGACAGTCTATGCTATGGGAGTGTGCAGGGACTGACCGTGCAGGGAGTGTGCATCAAGTGTTCATTGTGCAGGGACCGTGCAGGGACCGTGCATGGAGTGTTCTTTTGTTGTTGCATGGACCGTCCAGGGACCGTGCATAGAGATTGGGCGACATCTGTCCGACAGCGACATCTGTCCGAAAGCTGAATTAGGGATTTCGGACAGATGTCGCTGTCGGACAGGAGTCGTTTTTGGCGACATCTGTCCGAATTTCGGATCATATTGTAATTTCGGTTCACATTCGTATTTCACAAGCTCACGGGTAATCTCGTGACGTTCTAAAGCTGATGTGATCCCTTAAGATCTGATCCATCGATACGTGATTGACTAGTTGAGAACAGGATCGTGCTAGCCGTACCCTAACAAGCTGTCGATCACATCACAGGACATGAGTACATATAGGACAGCAGTATGGAGATCACTTATCGCAATCCACAATGGCAACCAATCTTCAGTTTATCCCTGGACGCAAACAAGGCTCGGAGAACCCTGTCCTAAATGGCTTCAGATACGTCTTCGACAAGCGAAACAACGACACCTCCTACTGGAAATGTTCGGATTTCCGAAAGGGTTGCAGAGCCCGCATCCGTACCGTGGACAGGCAACTGATCACTCCTACTCCTGACCACACTCACCCTGTCGGCCATGCTGAAACGACCGTCGGGCGGGAAACGAGAGACGGGCGGGAACTACCTTCAGAGAATTGTAGATGATTACGACAAGCAACCCTATGGATTTCCTTAAAGCTATCGGAAATTTGACTATGCTTTAGATTTGATTATGTGATATTGTATTATATTGAATTAATTTATAACATTTAAATAACAATTTATCGACATCAAATGAAAATAAACTGTGGTAGTAAACTATGGCTCAGATCATATCTCAAATTGGACATGTTACGTATACAATTTAGCAAGTAACAGTTTAGATCATGTCTCTAATTGGAAATGTGTCGTATTGAAATCAGGTCACAATTTCGGACAGATGTCGTTTTTTTCTGGTACCCTGATTCGGACAGATGTCGCCTTCGGACAGATGTCGCTGTCGGACAGGAGTCGTGTTACCGTGCATAGACTGTCCGGAGCTAAACGACCAACTTCCCGAAACCGTTTCCGTCCATCTTGATTAAACTTGTTCTACTTCAAAGTCGTCAAAGTCTGTAACTAGTTGGGAGCCTTCAGATGTTTTTAGCCAAATAAGTGCTTCGGCGAGTTCTTTATTCAATCTAGATTTCTTTGCTTCTTTTGGGGACACGCACTTATCCACCTTTCTCTTAGTATTCATGCGTGATGTTTTTGGTGTCTCTATGATATGTGTAGAATGAGCAGTCGTTGTTGAACTTGGACATGGGAGCACTTCAGACGCTTTACTTGTTGTGGCTACCCCATCAGTCACGTCTGATGTTTTAAGTGTCTCACTTGGAGACGACAGAACCTCGGAAACTGTAGTTAGAGCATCCACACTATCTCTACGATAAGTTGCTAATGTTGCTACGCTCCTGTGTCTGGTCCTCTTAATTACGTCAGTTTCCGTTACACCTGCATCAAACAGTGTGTTGATGGTACTTGTTCTTAAGGAATGATTAGTCGCCATATCATCTTCAGTTATTCGTTTCACTGTTTTGTTTATTGTATTGATACCTATTGGAGTATTTGTATACCTCACATCTTCATGAATTGGATTCTCTAGCTTCTTGGGAGTGAAAAACAATGCTTTATTCAAATCTGCTTTATCAGGTAGCTTTGATAGATAAAAATTGAATAAATTCGTGAATGAATTCTCATTACTTGGGTTTTCGTAATGTTGTACAGGACGTGGGTCATTCTTCTTGTGAAGACCTCCTTGATTAGCTTTTGATTTATTTTCTGTATATGTGACCTTGTTCATTACTGGTCCACCTTCTTTCAAAACACAATCTTCGAAATGAAAATTGTAATATCTGGCGTTTCGCAACTCTTCTTTGCCGCGAAGAGCGAACAACCAGCCACAAAGCCACAGTATACCGTCTACTAGCGATATTGGCGTAGCAGGTCCTAGCTGTCCACTCAGCCAAAGTTCCCTATGTACACCAGGGTCTACAGCAGGTGCCTTCTTCTTTTTGTGAGGTGGACCCTCCTTCTCCAGATGTTTGATATAGCCGTCCACTTTCTGGCGGCAAGTGAGAAACTCTGGAGCAAGGCTTAGGTTCATGGTAGCATCCTGCTCCACTAAGTACCTGTTTATTCCATGAAAAATGCTCATTAAGCTTTCAGGTGCATATTGGTGTCCGTCCTCTCTTCTTATCTCAACTATGAACTTTGCCACCATATTGTTTATCATTGAAGGAACACCACAGTGAACAGTCCAGCGGGGCATACATATGCCCCAAACGGGCGTGTTCCTCTCTCCATGTGTTGTACAAATTGACCGCGAATTGAGTCGATTTTCGTGTGTTTTCTGGTATTCGGCCTTTCCTGCGAGCTTCAAGTTCACCTTTTTCTATCAAAACAATACGAGACGTCATTATTTAAACAAAACAGTGCGATTTAATTTCAAATTGTTGGTCCATTTCCTGTTACAATTTATAAAAGTAGTTCCTTCCGATCTACTCCACTAATTTAAAACGTTTGAGATGATAATTCATTTTTCAAGTGGCCGCACTTTTGTCACGTGAGTTACATTTATTGAGTACAGTACGGAATAAATGTAAGTGCAGTGAGTATCGATGTCAAAGAAGACGCTTGCGTTTGAAATGATATTTCATATTTCAAGCAAATTGTGAGCTGTAAATCTAATTTTGCTTACGGGTATTTGCCTCACAGAATGGTCAAAAAAAAGGAAGGTCTCTCAAAGTCACAAAACACACTTTATTCCAGTTTTTATCTCATAAGAAGCTAAGTTGACACTCATATTTTTCTTCCCGGGGGTTCATTTAATCTCATAACCATTTTTTCTTTGAGAAAAATTGGCCGGAAAATCTTCCTCGAAAAAAACATGCCTCACAGAATGGCCAAATCTGAATTTCTATAATTTTGTTGATGGAGATACTTTTTAAATTTCTATCACCACACGTTCTTAGAAAACCTATTAAGGAATGGGGTAATAACCTAAAACTCACGAAAAGACTGAGCTGTGAAAAATTATTTCACAAAAAAGAAAAAATGCCTGACAAAATGGCAAAAAAAAAAAGAAAACGAGAAAATTTTATTTTTCTAAAACCTTTGGCTCTTGTTTCAGGCATGCTGCTGGTATTAATATGCCTTGTTAACACCCCCATATAGGTGAAATTTCTTAGAACTGAATAAAAAGGGCATAATTTCCTACACCAAAAATGGCCATTTTGTGTGGCGTTGTTCATATTCCCTGATTTCATGATTTATAACCTTCATTCGGCTGTAAAAACACTCCATCTGGGGTGTTATTGTATAATAAATAGCTTGTGAATACTTTAGACTTATGGTTTCATTGAATAAAAGGAGTTTTAAATTTTGGCCATTTTGTGAGGCATATTTTGGCCATTTTGTGAGGCGTTTAGCCATTTTAAAATTTTGTTTCTTCCTAAATTGAACAATGTTCGTTTTGTTTGATGAATACTATTCTTTAAACATCTTCTGTCATACTGGTGCCAGAAGTTCTCACCAAAATGCAAACTTAGTTTAAAAATTTGAAAACAAATTTTGTGAGGCATATTTTGGCCATTTTGTGAGGCGTGTAGCCATTTTAGCATTTTTTTCTTCCTATATTGAACAATGTTCGTTTTTTTTGATGAATACTATTCTTTGAACATCTTCTGTCATACTGGTGCCAGAAGTTCTCACCAAAATGTAAACTTAGTTCAAAAATTTGAAAACAAATTTTTCAGTGCTCAAAATTTCTACATAAACAGTCATATTTATGCCAGAAAATGTGGTCCTAGTTAATGATTTCACCACAGGAAGTGTTGCCAGAAGACTTTTGTTTCATATGGTATCCACAAAACCTACCAGTCTTTTATAAAAAATTAGTTACAAAAACATTTACAAATTTGGCCATTCTGTGAGGCTAGCCATTCTGTGAGGCATTTACCCGTAAGCATAAATTATGAAATCCAGCCCTTCTCGCTCGTGGCTAATATTGGTCACGTTATCTATCAGCTGACTATACCTCGTGACTGCGTCGCTCGGTGACCACGTGCCCGACTGGCTGGTGCCGTACCATAAGTGCAGATATTACACATTTACATTCGTTGCTAATTTTTAGCTCTGTTATCGCTTAGCTTATCTTTGTTAATTAAATATCCGACACGGCTTGTTTAACCGCCACAGCCTCACCTTGTTATGCAACCAGATTGATGTAACTCTATTCAACGACCTTCCGATTCAGCAGCAGCAGGTGCAACTGGTAACCATCACAGAACAAGATAACTATAATACTGAATATAATATATTACTTGGGTAGTGAACATTGAACAATTACCCGTCTTTGTATTAATCTTAATGTTTTAAGATTATACACAAACAGAAATTAAACATACCAATGTTTTGTTCAGTGATTTTGTGGCTGTGAGTGTTTTTGGGCATCGTATTTCGCTTACTGCGCCTGATTTCTATTAACTGAAATTAATTTTATAACCGATCTTGAACTCGAGTCTCGAGTACAGTTATTACCTAAACTGTATCCAATTCAGCTTTGTCTTCGCGTGATCTGCTGCGAATACAATTATTATGCGAAGTGTATTGATTTTTTGATATGTTATATGATTACTTCATAATAACAATTGATAAGGAGATGGCGTGCAACCAAAAAGAAGTGAACAATGTGTACGAGAATCTGTTCACAAGGCTGTGGAGGGAGAGCTGCGGAGATTATCTTAACTTCGGGATGTTTGATGATACTTGTAAGTTATGCGAGTAAAAATAAGTTAAATAAGACATTATCTGATTCGTTGTAACTCAACTATGTAATGAGATTTTATAAATTTGGAAACCAGCCAACTTCCACCACACCATGAACGTGTTTTAATCTTTTCACACTTCACACAATTCCTTAAGAAAAAGTATCTCAGGCAAAACTCTGATTGAGGCGAATGATAACATGGTAGACTGGATTATCGAAAAACTAAATATAGATAACAAGTCTACGGTACTGGATATCGGTTGCGGACGAGGAAAATACACAGTGGAAATTGCGAAGAAAACAGGTCAGTGATCACTTACAGCCTGACTAATATTGAATAAGCATTTTCTCACTGATATAATGATGTTATAATGTTTTTATGAGATATCAAATACGGCTTACAATAACCATTCAAGCTTATCAACTTCAGATTGCAAATTTGTTGGTGTTGACATCGTTGAAAAGTTCATTACTTGTGCAAATACCCTGAGAGATGAATCCAACTTAAGTGAAAATGGTCAGTTTCTAGTTGGTGACATGCTGAAGTTGTCGGAGGCAGTTAAAGACAGAAGATTTACACACGTCCTGGCGCTAGGAAGCCTTTTTTATGTTCACGATAAGATGGCCCCGTTTTTGGAAAACGTTAAGCCGCATATGGAAGCGAACTCTCTTCTTCTAATTCACGACTTCTCCAGAAATGTACCCTTGGAAGAGGTGAGCATTTTAGCATTTTTAGGTAAACAGTTTAATTTCTTTTTCAGTGTGGCTTAACCGTTGGAGACTTGTGCGAAGAGAGGAATTGGCAATTTCACAATCTGTATCAAATTTCTAACCTTGACTTATCTCTCAGTTTGGAATTGCATTTATCAGCACTTTTTGAGCAATTTTCAAGTTGTATTCTAATAAAAATTAGAGAACGATCAATTTTGTAATTCGTTTCATTTTAATTGTTCACCTCATATCATCAGCTATATTCCAACCAGGTGAAAGTTGTAATGAATCATTGGAGGACAACCGCTGATACATTGGAAACTCAAAACTACTTAGACATTATCAAATCAGGTTAAGTGTTATCGAAATACTGTAATCCTCCGCAAGTTCGATTGTTGTGGGTGTGTTCAATTTTATTTGGATATTTAAATTGTACAACGTATAGTTGGCAAAAAGCCACTTTTTATTTGTGCACTCTAGCTTAATAATTTTGACTGACTAACTAACAGTTACTTCTTGTAGCTGGGTTCGACAATATTTACCACAGTGACGACACAGCTATGGGCTTAAAATCCTGTCAATGGGTCGTTGATGTGACCGAAAAGATTGCACCAAGTGATGCTGATGGAAAGAGTACTTTTACATTTTGGGTACTTAGAGGTATTGATAACATGATTTTATTGATTTTTTGTTTTTAATATAAGATTTTCATTATAAAAGTGTAATTTGAATCCACTACATCAACAAGTATAAGTAGTAAAGCCCCACTACTCTACTAAATATTCGAGCCTGCATTGCACGTGTCTGATTCGTCGCCACCATTGGCATTGATACACTATATCTGTATAATATACAACTACATTACATTTCAGATGCTTTGAAAGCCAGACGTATTCTACATAACACGATAATCGCTAGGAACGTATGATCAGGAGTAAAGTATTTTAGTTTAGAGTGAAGAAAGAACTGCATGTCTAGATTTGTAAACATTTTTATCTTATTTTGTTTGGAAATATGAATTATCCATAAACACACTATTACATGGTATAATATGCTACAAGTACAATAAAGTTTAAACTGGTTTGTTGTTGGTCTATATGTATTATCTGCTGTATCACATGTATCATACATTTATTAGTCTATGTAATAAGCGCCATGAGTTGGCAGAGAATTTTTTGATTTTAATAATTTTGGTACCAAAATTTGTCTCTAAGTGTGAATAATGCAAATTCACCGTGCAGCACGATAAGGTCAAGCTGTATGTGGGCCTCCTGTGCATTGCAAAAGTGTAAACTGTAAACAGGACGAAAAATGGGTAATTGTTTGCTTAAAACGCCTATAACTCCTAAACACTAAATATCGAATATTTTGAAATAATTTTTACAGGATCGTAATAAGCTTGGTCAGACGCAACTTTGGGCTTTTACTAATTCGCTCGCCCAAAAGTTTCACGTGACTTTAGTTTTTATGGTTTTGCAGCCGTACAAAACGGTTTTAGTTTTACATAAACCCTAATCCGCAACCCTAACCCTAACCATAACCCCGAAGCTATCCATAACCCTTACCACAACCCTAACCCTAACCCGAGCCCTAAACAATCGAATTCATGTTTTACTAGCCTGTCACGTGACCAAAACGGTTTTTTGCCCATAACTCTCCAGGGAAGCATTTTTACCCTACGTCATGGGGGGTGATTCGGAATCAGCGTCCAAAAATACACCGTTTAAAAATACACCGTTTAACATCAATGGGTATGAAATTTTCATACCCAAAGGGCCTTTTCACAAGAATTTTCTTAAAATTTGGGCGATCGATTTAGTAGGAGCGGTTACTGCTGGCCAGCGCAATATGACCCTGGTCATTAGTAGGAAAGTTTGCACGAGATGGACCACGTTTTTCCCAATTTAACTTTTAAGACAGGCATATGATATTTAACATGATATTTAACATGTCTATTATAGTTCAACTAATTGAGTTTCGATTAATAAAATTTTTGAAGCATTTAGCCGAGGGCAAATTGCTTCTAATGACAGCTTCCAAGTATGTACTAAAACTAAAAGTTTAAACGTGTTCAATCGATTCATCAGATCGAACTCTTTCAGAATCCGAAGAGAAGAGGGAAATTTGTCTGCTAATTGAGGGGAAAATGAGGCTAACAAGTCATTACTAAGTTATGAATTATATTTGAATAATAACGTCTATCAAAGTATCCTCTGACCTAAAATACATGAGATGGATGCTCTAGGTCGAAGGCTGGCCCAGCCGACCCCTTTTTCCTTCTAATTGAGGGGGAAATGAGGCTAACAAGTCATTACAACAAGATACAAGGGCAGGTCTCTCCCGAACGTTGGGATGGCCTGATGTGCTTATCTCCTTTTCAATAACCCTAAGCCACTCTGTGCCGAGGCACTATACTAGCTGTAGGGGGGTTAGTCCTACGAGCCAGAGAGTGTGTATCACCAGCCGAAGCTGTACCAAATCACAGCTTGGTAACTGGCCGACTTGCATCCGACCGGGTTTGAACCCGGGTCTTCTGCTTGGGAGGCGATCGTGTTACCACTACACCACCCGGTCGACACCACCCGGTCGACAAGTCATTACTAAGTTATAAATTATATTTGAACAATAACGTTAAACTATCCTTTAAACTATCCTTTGCCCTGGATACATTATATGGATACTTAAGGTCGATGGTAGACTCCACCTACCCTTTCTCTCTTTTGATGGAGAGTAAAATAAGGCTAACTATCAAGGTTTTTTTCATTTCTTGTTCTACTGCTTCTTCGGACTAGCCCTTCAAATTACTTCTGTCTAACATGTATGCATGAATAGTCGATGATCATATACTAACCTGGCATGAGTTTTGGGAGGTGAGATTGAGGCTAACTCCTGTCACGCTTATTATAATATTTGATAAGTGATAGTTTAATGCAATGTTGAATGCTTTTATTTACTGTATAACTCCACTTTTGACGGCCACTTATTATTATCATAACCACACCGGCTTTTTTCCAGGTAGTGCGATTACAAGACTAATTGCACTTTTTTGAGAGCATCCGAAAACATATTCGGTGCGATTACAAGACTAATTGCACTGTTTTTTAGAGCCCTCTCAACAGCTGTTCTACTATACTATAAGGTACTGATTTAAACATTGATTTGAATCAGTAACCTGGAGTAGTTTATGTCTAATAGTGCAATGATCAGGTTGACATCCGAATATATGGAAAAATGTATTATTACGATAAAACAAAAATTATTTCTTTGCGTTTGAGATGTGTCAAGCGAAATAAAAACTTTCCTTGTAAAACTTTCTCAAACAGTTTAATTTTTATTACACTTTATAGTTCAGAGCCTAATTTGGCATGATATCAGATCATGTGATATTACATGGCCCCATGGAGAGCATTGCCAGTCAATTGGCCAGAGAGCTCCATAGAAGTAACGGCCTTACTCTAGCCAACAGTTCTACTACTCTACTACTACCAAGGACTTAATTACCTGAGGAAGTCTCACGACAATAAGTACAATGGGCACGATATATTCTGGAGGCGGTGACAAATGTACATTTATAGTTTACGACAAAATCTTTCCTTGCGTTTGAGATAAGTCAATCCTTACATTAATACAAGGGGGCTCATGTTTTTTTTTTTTTTATTAATTAAGGATTTCAGTTGACTTAGAAATGGTTTTAAAGAGCCAGGGTAGAGTTCAGATGATAATTCAGAGGTCCTCGCAGATTATTTAGCAGTCCTTCGCTCGATCCACAGAGCTGCACCTTTCAGATCTGCACTATGACTTTGATGGCAAAGCTGCAAAATTTTACAGTTTTGTTGTTCTACTTTGTTTGTGAATCTCAATCGATACTCTGTAGATTTATTGGCAACGTCTTCTATTGTTTCAACTGGCACTTGTTAAATAGTTGCAGATCAGAGGAGACTTGAGGACAGCAGTCTTACACAAACATACGTGCTCAAAACGTACGTCATACCAGCTAAAGGACAAACAATGATATCGTACAATGATATGACAAATTCCTGAAATACCATAACCCTAACTTACACTAAGAACAATAGTCTTCCATAGACCGTACCTTCTTGATGATCAACCCCTCAGTGCTAATTTGCTCTTCTCGATAACGTTTTTGATGTTATTTAATAATTATATTGTCCTTGCCGGAGATCATAATATACACTTTGATAATAACCACAGGGTTGGTACAATTCGATACAATCTAATTCAAATCGATACAAATCGATACAATCCAATACGAATCGATGCAATTCAAACATATCGTCAGGAAACATAATATCAAATTTATTCATTCACGTGCGCAATTACAGAATAAACGCATTTTATTGGTTGATGTAACGGTCTAGCTCATAAATAAATCAAATATACCAAGCTCCAGAAGGAGAGGAACGAGGTCTAAAATTACCAAGAAGGCTCAAGCAAAATGTCAACGGACCATTACAGTAAAGAATTTCGGAGAGTATCATTAATAGTCAGCAATGTTAATCAAAGATTCACATATATCTGCCTCCATTTCATGACTTGCAGTTGGAATAAAGGATTGTACTTCAACCAATAATTAATATAATACGAACCTCAAACATGACAGTGATTTATCGACTGAATGTTACAAAATCTTACTATATATAAAGCGAGACGATATATATATATATATCTGTGCCATTTTACTGACACCACGGCATCAACTTTAACGCAACTTTCCGCAAAAACCGTAAAAGATATACAACTGAAACTTTTTTGACTGGGTTAAATGCTTTAATGGCCTTCAAATCAGCATGAAAAAATAAAAAATTGGCCAAGGAATAATAATTTTAGTGCCCAAAATTTGGACTCCCAAGTGGTGTCAAAAACGCGAATTAAATAGGTAATAATTATTTTAGTCTCTCGAGTCTTGACACCACTTTAGGGTTAGACGGGTTCCTGCTAGTACTGATAACTGATAAGTAGTACAGGGAAATCCGTCTGAAAAAATCGATCTGCTGACACACGAAGCTTTCAGAGGATTTTTGACGTTTTTGAGTCCCATTTATAGGTGCCCTTTATGGCTGACCAACTTTTCCAAACTTTTCCACGTGTCTAAAGGCCACTTTTTGCCACTTTACCACTTTTTACCACCTTTCTTGTTTGTCGAATATCTGGCAATTTGGTAATCGCGCTGGGGCACACTTGGGACACACTTGGGGCACAAAATTGTATTTCCTGGGGCACACTTGGGGCAGATACGGTTGGGGACCCCTAGTGTGCCCAAACTGTGCCCCAAGTGTGCCCAGCGCGATTACCAAATTGCCCTAGAGTGCTCGGATCAATTCGACAAGTCTATACTTCGCTTATTATCAACTAAAGCTACCAAGTAGCGATCAACGTAACAACTGACAAGGGTCATCGTGATGCTAGAATGGGGTCTCTGGGAGGTAGATCTCAGCTAGGGTATTTGCTGCGGGTTCATCAGCAAAAGCAGCAACTCCTTGCAATGAACCACTACTCTTAGCTGGGACCCGACCAGATAAACAATCACATTTGTTGATTTTATCACCATACGATATCAGTCCTTGAAATTTCTGTAAGTAAAAGTCATAATCCTTCAGGTGGACGAAACTAATTGGTTAGAATGTTAGATGTGGATCCTAACTTAGCTTCATCAACTTAGGCATGTTAGTTTCATCGGGTTGTGCTTATAAGGTATTGTTATCTAGTGTTGACTAGGAGTTTCAGCTTTGCGTTAATTTGTAGGGATAAGCTTTATTGTGTCAAAATGGCACACAATCTGCTTATTCGTTTCCAGGTGTTGTACCAGGTAGGTCCAAGAGGCTAGGACTTTGAAGATCTTCCAGGGTTCCAGGACTGTGTCAATTCTTGAATTTTCTGAAATCTGTAATGGAGAGGCTAAGAAGTTTCCACATTAGGACCACGTCGTCTTCAACTCTAATGTAGCAAGTGGATCTCCCATGACTAATGTAGTACAACTTAGTGCCCGGGTTCTCCACCAAATTGTGCGCTTAGGGGATAATTTGGTAGAAGGACTTAAAGTTGAGAGTTTTAGGCGAGGTCAGAGGTGTCTTTAGCTCTTATTTACTTTCGAGATAGAGGGGGGACAATTGAGACAAGTTCGTAAACTAATGTAAAACGTTTTGGAGTAAAGTATAAATACTACTTGTCACAAAATGA